CAACCCATGTATCATTTAGAAGTATGTTGTTTAGCTCCTAAATGTCTTAGGGTGCTGTGGTTTGGATGTACCCCCAAATTTGTGTGTTGGAAATTTGTGTGTGAAGGTATTGGGAGGCCAGGCCTAGTGTTTGGGTCATAGGGGTGAACCCCCTCAGCGATGAATTAATGTTGATAACACAGGAGTAGGTTAGTTCCTGCGAAAATGGGCTATTATAAAACTGGTGAAGCCTTTGTGCTTTATCTCTTCTGCATGCGCTCCTTGTCCTAATACCTTCACGCCATGAGATAATGCAGTACAGAAGTATTTTGGACCAAAATCAAAAATACCGAGGATAAAAAATATATATATATACCGAGGATAGACATTATCACCATACCTTGGGACCTTCCAACTTCTAGAATCATAGCCAAATCAACTTCTTTCCTTTATAACTTACTCAGTCTGTGGTATTCTATTAGCAACAGAAAACATTTATAGGTGACGATATGGGGTTCAGCTTTCCGTTACTGATTTCTAGCTTAAGTCCTGTATGGTCAAATTACCTCAGTTTTCATTTTTCTAAGATTGTCTTCATACCTTCCCTTTTATTTTTTTTAACTTTTTTATTTTTTGGTTTTGTTTTTTTTTTTTTTTTTAAGACAGGGTCTCACTTTGTAGTCCAGGCTGGTTTTGAACTCACTATGTAGTCCAGGCTGGCCTTGAACTTGCAACGATACTTCTTAACTTTAAAGATAACTTAGAATTTAGAATTCTACGGGAATCTTGCATGATACCACTACACCAGCAGCGCTGTTTAGAATTCTATGATATTCTGTTCTTCTCTCAATATTTTGTTGACTGCAAAAGAATCAAGCTATAAGCAAAGGAAGTATTTAGTTAGGAGCAGAAATTGAAATGTAGGCAAGCAGCAAATGGCAGACCCAGGCTGTGGTCCAAGAAGAGAAAGAGAGAAGGCTCTTTAAGGGACCAAGCCCAGAGGTAGTCTGATCTTGCAACATTTGTGTTGAAGCTGGATTGACTGATGGAGCACAGGTAGAAGGTTGCACAGAGGGTTGATTTGCGGCTGTCAGAAGAATCTCAGACTCAGCTGATGCTACAAAATCAGGGAGTTTTCTTATTATATTTAGCTGACTCACCTGTCCAAATGTCAAACAGACAAAGTGGAATCTGGCTTTATTAGAAAGTTCTACAAGTTAAACATTTCACTTACTCTTACTTGCATAGTTTCAAAGGAGAAGTCAGGTATAATTACTATCTTTGCTTTTCTATATTTAAGGGTTTTCTTTTTCTCTTCCTTCAGGAATGTTTCTTTACTGTTTATTTTCTGCAGTTTGAATTTGACATGCCTAAGTACGGTTGTTATTGTATGTTTGCTTGTTTTTCCATTTATCTTGCTCAGTGTTCTCTGAGCTTCTTGAAACTATGGTCTGACATTAATTTGGAGAAATCCTTAGTCATTATCATTTCAAGTATTTCTTTTGTTTGTTTCTCTCTTCTTTTTCTAGCCCTGTCAGTACACATGCCTTATACCTTTGTAGGTATCTCACTGTTCTTGGATATTCTCTTCCCCTTTTTGAGTCTTTTTTTCTCTTTGTTCTTTGGTAGCTGCTATGAGTATATCCTAATGTTCAGGGAGGCTTCATAAAGTTATGTTTATTCTACTGAAAGGCACATCAAACACATTCTTCATATATTCCAGTGTTTTTGATCTCTAGCATTTTTTGGTTCTCTCTTAGAATTTCCATCTCTGCTCACAGACTTGCTTGTTTTTTCTTTATTGGACCCCTTAGCATATTTATCATAGTTGTTTTAATTTCATAATCTGATAGGCCTAACATCACAGTTATACCTGAATCTTGTTCTAGTGCTGGCACCGTCTATTTCTGGGGAGGGGGTTGCCTCTTAATACATCTTGTAATTTTTCACGGGATGTCAAACATGCTGAACTGATCAAAAGGAGTCATGGTGAACAGCACTTAGGGATGGGGTGGTAAGGTGTGGAAGAAGGGAAGTGGTCTATTGTGCTGTGATTAGGTCTCCATCTTTTGGAAGTGAACCCAAGGCCTTTGCACTGAGCTACACCCTGTGTCTTGTCTTGTCTTTCTTTCCTTCTTTTTCTTTCTTTCTTTCTTTCTTTCTTTCTTTCTTTCTTTCTTTCTTTCTTTCTTTCTTTCTTTCTTTCTTTCTTTCCTTCCTTCCTTCCTTCCTTCCTTCCTTCCTTCCTTCCTTCATTTCTTTTTCATCCTTCTTCTCTCTTTCTTTCTCTTCCTTCCTTCCTTCCTTCCTTCCTTCCTTCTTCTCTCTCTCCCTCTCTGTCTCTCTGTCTCTCTGTCTCTCTGTCGCTCTCTTTCTCTCTTTCAGAACCTAAGTCACTAAGTTGCCCAGGCTGGGCTGGAATTTGTGATCCTCCTGCCTCAGCTCCCCAGAGTGCTGGGATTACCTGCGTGGGCCACCATGCCCAACCACATCTCAGTCTTTTAGTGAGTTTCAAGGGCTCCTTAGCTGTGAACTTCTCAAGTGCTTCTCAGTCCCCAGCCTTCCCTCCTTAGGTGGCAGAAGCCGACTAGCAGGGGCTGAAGCTGGGTATGTCCTTCCCCCAGGTCAGTTAAGCTATGCTAAAACCCCAATCATTTAGGCTCTGACTAAAAGAAAACAGTTTCTCTTGGGGGCAGGCCTTGCATTTCCGAAAGGTTACCTTCCCCCTCCTCTCTGGAAGCAGGAGGGGATTCTCCTCTAGCCCTCAATGAGAGAATCTGGTAGAGTTCCTGGAAGTAACCCCACAGAAGTATGGGGCCCCCTAAGACTAGGTCTGTCAAGATTCCAGGGAGAGAAAGAGATTTAGGGGGCTAGACAGGAATGAACATGTGTCTAGTGGGATATCCAAGTGAGATACTGGGTAAGCCGTGGTTGCCAGAGCCTGGAAGAGCTTTTCCACCGCATTAGAGCTTACAGTTTTCTACCTGTCATAGCAGTGTTTCCCAAGCTTGGGTTTGGACTCCGAGGAAGAAGGCAAAGCAGATCTTTCATTTTGCTCCAGAGGAGTTTAAGAAAACTAAGTCCTTTGTTTAGTTTACTTGTCCCAAATAAAAAAAGACTTTTTTGTTTGAGGCCAAAACCTTGGCTGCCGTCATTACATCTACGCGGTTTGACTTACTGAACTTTGTTGTATATGTCCTTCTTGAGGAGACGGCAAGGCCGACTTGGGGGATTCCTGTGGCACTAGGCCACATCCCAAAATACCAGTGGTCATTTCTAAACCCTTTCAGCCAAACACTTGATCCTAGCCCGGACCATTGTTTCTCAACAGGGTCTCCACCTTGGCCATTGGCTCAAGACAATTTTTTATCATGCTATAATGTCCTGAGCACTGCAATGAGGTTAGCAGTGCGCCTGTGTGACCTGTCAGCCATCGTGACAACCCAAGACGTGCTTCCCACAATCCCAGATGCTTCATAGGAGGTGACGCTTACGTCCTGTTCGCTCACCTGCGACAACTGCTGCCTCTGTCTTGAGTTTCCTAGGTGCTTGCTTGGCAAGAGGCTCTGGTTATTCAATACTCTCGGTCCTAGAACTTTACAGTAGGTTCCCACAATGCTTATACAAAACCCTCAGATGAGAAAGATTCGGAATACAACTGAATCTTAGCCGATTTATAAATCAGTGCACTGGAGTCTTGTAGAAACTAGAAGCAATGTCACGAATAGTGTTCTTTACTCTGCAACTCCACTGCAGAGAATTAATAGAATGTTGGTGGTCAGTTAATAGTGAGGAGTAGGAGGGCGTGTCCTCCTGTTTCTGACCTGTTCCTGGGGACAGTCAGAATTGTTAGGAAACTCTGACGTTGATTTGGTGGTTGCGGCTAAGGCTTCAAAGAATCTACTCTTCCATTGGGTTGGAAGTTATTACTCTATCTCCCATCTCTGCCGGAAAGAAAATAAAATTTGTCCTTATGTATCTATGATGAACTATCTCCTATCGCATTAATTATCATAAAAATTTCACCAGGCGCTTATGAACCAGACTCTGTGCTAGTTCTTTTGACCGTGTTATTTAATTTGATGCTCGCAAAACGCCAATTCGTGGAGCAGTAAGGAAATGAAGGCTTAAGGAAGTTCTGTAATTTACTCAGGAAGTGATAGCTTTCCAATGTACACTTTGAAACACAGCCTATAATTTCATCAGACTGCACGGATCTTTTGGACAGAGTGATTCCATTCAAAAGATATTTATTGGGCACTACCATGTGCAGAGACCCGCCCTGGGCAAACAAGGCTGGCGCTGCTGAGAGGCTGCGCGGAGAAATGCATACGTGCACGGATAGGTGAATAAGGTAAACGATGGGAAAACGCATGGAGTAAATGAATCGTGGCACGAGGGAACCGGATGGAAGAGCGGATGGAAGAGGTGGGCAAGTGGTGAGTGAATGAGGAAGTAATCGAGTGGATGAATGCATGAAGTGGTGCGAGCCCGAGCTTACTGAAGTCCGGAGCCTGGTGGCAGGCGGTGGGCGGCGGGCGGCTATTCCACACAGTACGGTAGGCGAGGGCGCCTCCTCCCCTAACTCCTTTCCTCCCTTTCCTCCCCCACCCCTCCTCCTCCGCCTTCGCCGCCGCCGCCACCTCCTCCGC